ATTTTTCGAATCTTCCAAAACCTAAAAATGAAGAAAATTTCGAAAAGAAACTTGAAGAATTAACAAAATCTTTTTATAAAATAAATGATAGTAAATATCAATCTTATATTTTATTATATTCATTTTTAATTTATAATCAATTTTATTTTTCTTTTTTTAATTAGGCGATGATTTTGATAATGACAATGATGATAAATGATTTGGATATGTCTAATTTATAAATTTTATTTAAGTTATCAGTTATACATTTTTTTTTTTTGTATTTTACGCATAAATTATAAGGCATTAGGATTAATTTTTTAATATTATAAAATCTTAACACTAAATTTAAAGTTGTAATTATGATTTTTTTATCAAATAAAATATCGCAATTTTTTTATGTATTTATTATCGTTTGCATTTCATTCACGTTTATTACAGTCATAAAACGTAATTTGAATGGCAATCTATAATAATATAAAATAATAAAAATAAAAATTTTTTAAAAAATTTATATTTCGTTTGAAAATTAGGTAAATCAAAAAAATAAAGAAATAAGAAAAATTTGAAAGATTGAAAATTGAGGAATAATTATTATTTTGGTAAAAATATATTTACATTTAATTTGTAACCATGAAAAAAGAATACACCAGCAATAATTATTAAATAATTAAAGTTTATGGTTTCTTCATACTTCGTTTAAAATCAAAAAAAAAAAATAAAGAAATAATTTTTTTTTTTTCATTCACATGAAAAAGAGTAAAAATTGAGGAGTAATTATTTATTTTGTAAAAAAAATATTTATATTTGATTTGTTAAAAGAAATATATATTTAAATGTTAAAAAATATTTATATTTAATTTGTAAACACAAAAAAAGAATACGTATCCAATATACCAATAATAAAGTTTAAAAGAATTATTTTTTTACCATTTTTATTGTATAAGCAGTAAGGAAGACATTCAAAAATTATATGAATGCCAGATATCCTCTGGTGGGTGGTGGGAGTTATTCTTCTGAATGGTATCGAGTACGGTGCGTTCTCGATTGCGTATTCGATTAAATATTGCATTAATTCGGATCACGATAATCTGAGTATTGGTAAATCTTTTTTTTAAGTCTTTCCAGCATTAACCAATTGGACTAAAGCATTATCATAGTATAGAATTCTAGCCCAATATTATAATTTTTTTACATGTTTGTCACCCAACATTTGTCGACTTCGCTCGCGATTTACAAAGCGTAGAGCGATTTTCTACTAAGATATTTCTAAGATAGAAAGAGAAGCCTTATTCTTGGCTACAAAATGACATCTATTTCATTCTGTTAGTATCGATATTCGCGAGATTATTTCAGTTTAAAGAAAAAAATCGTGCGAAAAATTTCCAGAGATTTTTGCACTATTTTTTTACGGACGTTTTTAACCCGGAATAACTCTGAGAATAAAGATATTACAGGATAAAACACTTTAATTTTGTAGCCAAGAACAAGGCCTTTCTTTCTGTCTTAGAAATACCTTAGTAGGAAATCGCTCTATGATTCGCGAACGAAGTCGAAAAAACGTAAAAATATCCGGAGATTTTCACTTTTTTTTTTTTCGAAGATATTTGTTATTGGCTACAAAATGATATGTTTCATTCCGATAATATCACTATTCGCAGAGGTATTTTGTTTAAAGAAAAACATCCATGAAAAAATCGTGCAAAAATCTGGAAAATTTATCCCGATTTTTCACGGACGTTTTTTTTTTAAACTAGAATAACTCCGGGAATATCGATATTAACGGGATGAAACACATATCATTTTGTACCGAGAGCAAAGCCTTTCTTTATACCTTAGAAATGCCTTAGTATAAAATCGTTCTACGCTTCACAAATATAATTCAGAAAAACATGAAAATCTCCGGAAATTTTTGTATTTTTACGTTTTTTCATAGAGCGATTTTCTACTTAGATATTTCTAATATAGAAAGAAAGGCCTTGTTCTTTGCTACAAAATTATATGTGTTTTATCTCAATGACATCAATATTTGCGGAGTTCTTCCGGTTAAAAAAAAACGTCCGTAAAAAAATCGTGTAAAAATCTCTGGAAAACTTTTCGCACGATTTTTTCGAGGACGCTTTTCTTTAAACTAGAATAACTCCGCAAATATCGATGCTACCAGAATAAAACACATATCAATTTGTAGCCAAGAATAAGGCCTTTCTTTCCATATTAAAAATACTTATTGGAAAATCGCTCTGCGCCTTGTAACTCGCGAGCTAAGTCGAAAATTGTAAAAAGAAATGAAAAACTTCCATTTATCATCGACTATTAAATTTACTGATGTAGGTTAAAGATCCTTTATAATAATTAACTAGCCTCTATTTTTTTAGAGTGTCACTGGGATATAAATGTTGTGTTATATATTGTGATTTGTTATTTAAATTTATGAGAAATAGATCGGATTTTTTTTTTTTTACATTATTACATTGTGGTTTCTAATCTTTGACAATTCTATTCTTTTTTTTGTAAATGCCTGCTATTCTTTGGGTGGGTGGAGGATTGTAATCGAAATCTCTAAATCGATTATTATTACATATGTATATAAATTCTTTTCCATTTCGGGTCATGAAAATCTTCCCAAAAAGAGTAATGCTGGAAGCTTAAGGTCTTACCAGTATTCGCCAATTGGATGAAAGTATTTTGTGCCGTGACTTCACCGAAAAAGGAATAATCATCTACACTACTATAATCTGATAGCAAAATTAATAATATTTATGGAACAATTTCACATATTCCACATCCATACGAGGAAATGAATTAACAAAAAAGGGAGATGTTTATGGTTTTGGTGGAATTATGTATGAAATAGCAACCAGAAAACGACCATTTTATGAACGAGCACATGATGCCCATTTAATAATTGATATTCCTGATGTTATGTTAGATTGGGTTCCAAAATTGTATTCAGACTTGATCCTGATATATAAATGCTGGAGTGGTGTGGAGTGGTGTGGTGTGGTGGACCTTCTAATCGTCCATCTGTCAATGAATTATATGTCGCATTATTGAATTTACGTGGCAAATTTGATATTAATATCGATTATACCATTCTACACCAATTTAAGATTGCAAATGAAAGTCACGAAAAAGCAATAAAATCTCAAAAACGTGAACCATCTCCATCTCTATCGTCAAGTATATCTCGTCCACAATCTTGTCATATTAGCCGAAATATCCATATTATTCACGGATTGCATAATTCATTGGAAGATATAAAATATGGAAAATCTCAAGGTAATATTTTTTCCATGATTGATTTTAATAAATAACTAATTATTAAATTTACATTTATAGATCCCAATTTATTAAGTCCAATGAATCAACTGTTTCAAGTGTCAATACTTATTTTATTGATTCTAAAGAATCCCCAGAATGCATTGATTGGGAAAAAGAACTCAAAACCAGGACCATCCCCTAATATCTCGACTTTCGATTGTAATTTCTAAGAACCTAATGAGCTCATTAATCTGGATAGAAATGATGATATTTAAGAAATTAAAAAAGACCAATTATCTTTTATTTATTTTATCTTTTATTTGAAAAATACAAAGTTTATTATAATTTTTATCTTTATTTTCGGAGTCAATTTTTAAATAATGGTTCATGGGAATTTCATTTATTATTGAAGAAATTTATTTAGCATTTTAAATTTTCATATATTAAGATGTAAACTTGTGAGATTGTATGATTTTCTTTTTTGAATATTTGACGCCGAAAAATTTTTTCCATATCACATGAACATCTCAAATACTATCGTATGCTGTTGAATATGAATAATTTTCAACAACAACTCAATAATATTTGCGTTAAAATAGGGTAAAAAAATATTATTAATAAATAAGTGAAGAGAGTATTTAAAAGAAAGTGTTCTATGGTAAGGAGTTGTTATTTTTTTTATTTATTGACGTAAAATGGACTTATTGCGTTAAAGAAAAAGTCAATTAAGTCAATTGGATTGCATACAAAATCGAAATAATAAATAAGTTATTGGTTTCATATTATTAAATAGAGTTAGATTTAAAATTTTTCGTTTATTATTTTTTAAAGTACGTGAACTATATTTAATTGAATTTAAAATGGAATATGTGTCAACTTTCGTAACATTCTTGCACTGCTAGTTTAAAATTTTAAATTCCGTTCCGTATTAATCTTTTAGCAAAGGCACTTGATATAATTAAAGATTTCTCAGAAAGAAATGAAAAATGTAAATCTATTCAATAAATAAATAATAATATAATCAAGGAGAGATAAGTTACCATAATTAACAAAAATTAAAATTTGTACATTAAAATTTTTATGTTCACACATTATTTGTTCGTTCGATTTTTTGATATATTAACAAAAACAATAAAAAATACTGTTCAAATTATGTGCACTATTATTTTTTTATCCAATAGAATAAAAATTATAAATATTTGAAAATTATGAGAAAAACTATTTTTGATATTTTAATATATTAAGATATTTTACATGCTTTATTATTGATCTAATTTCATGTTTTTTATAATAGATGTTATTAACCAGCGGGTATGTAATTCTCAAAATTTTAATAATTGAATGTCTACAAAATTATAGACTATCTTGTAAACATTTTACATAATTTTGCAATAAATTTTATGTAATATGTAATTCTTTGCAGGTATTTAAATGTATCAGAAAAACCTTGATTTTTCCTGATGGAATTCTTAATTAATTTAATTATTTTATTTTACTTTATATAAGTAGTTAACATTTTTCTTCTTTATCAATTAAACTTTCAATAACACTTTTGAATATTGAAGCTTAATTACATCAGGGAAATATAATTCAACAAATAACAATGACGCCAGATCCATCATTTAATATAATAAAATGCGAAATCAATTCTAAAATACGTCTTTTGACTTATAATTTGTAACACATACTCATCTATCACATCTACAAATACCTTCTTATAAAAATTGATTTACATCACATGCTCGCACTAATGTGAAAAGAGATTTACAGTATATTTATTACAACACGAAAATCAGAAGTGTTGCGTTACTTTTTGGCAGCCACTGTACAACTATAGTATAAAATTCTGAAATCTTGTTTTGAGTATGTATTAAAATTATATTAAGTGGCTCGAAAAAAAAAGAAAATGCGAACAGTGGAAAAAATAAAATGAATGTACTATTTTTTTATGAAATCATTATCTTTCTAAAAAAGTAATAAGGAAATGTGCAATGATAATACAAAATTAGTACGATTTTTGTACATTCATAATATTTTTTATTAAATTCGAACAAATGTTAAATCTTAGGATCATTTATTTGTGAATTTAAATATTATAAGTTTTGCAAAATAAATAACATTTTTGTCTCATCTGTTATAATAAATAATAGTTAATTTGATGAAACAAATAATTTAAGCTAGTAAAAAGATAAAATTATTAAAATAAGTGAAAGAATATTTTCTTATCACTGTGTATATATGAGAAGAGTGACCTGACATGTGTCAGTGTATCAATATAAATATCATTTTGTGCAATCAATAAAATTCCAATTATATTTTCTGTGAACAATGGAAAAAAATAGTTAAAAATTAATTGGTATAAAGACTAACCTTAAAATTGGCTTTTTCTAAAATTGTGTTACTTAAAACCTCATTTTTTATACGCAATATATTATTATAATAAAAGTTTTTTTTTAATTATTTCGCACATTTATATTTATATATTAATATTTATTAAATATTTTATCAAAAACTCTTATATAGCTGAACAAAAATATCTACACAAATGGAAAATGAAATTGGAACTAATGAAAAGAAAGCATTTCAGCGGTACATGAAATTAGCTGAATTGGGAGATCATAAGAGTCAGAATAATCTCGGAGATTGTTTTCGTAATGGGATTGGAACTTCAAAAGATGAAGAGAAAGCATTTCAGTGGTACTTGAAATCAGCTGAAGGAGGGGATCATGTGGGACAGAATAATCTTGGAACTTGTTATCGTAATGGTGTTGGAACCATAAAAGATGAAAAGAAAGCATTTCAGTGGTATATGAAATCAGCCGAAGGAGGAAATAGGGATGGACAGACTAGTCTCGGTTGTTGTTATGATAATGGAATTGGAACCATAAAAGATGAAAAGAAAGCATTTCAGTGGTTCTTAAAATCAGCTGGAGGAGGAAATCATATAGCACAGTTTAATCTTGGTTGTTGCTATCGTAATGGGATCGGAACTACTAAAGATGAAAAGAAAGCATTTCTATGGTATATGAAATCAGCTGAAGGTGGAGATAATAATGGACAGAATAATCTTGGTGATTGTTATCATAATGGGATTGGGGCTACCAAAGATGAAAAGAAAGCATTTCAGTGGTACTTGAAATCAGCCGAAGGAGGAAATCATATGGCACAGCTCAATCTTGGTTATTGCTATTGTAATGGGATTGGAACTATAAAAGATGAAAAGAAAGCATTTCAGTGGTATTTGAAATCTGCCGAAGGAGGAAATCATATGGCACAGCTTAATCTTGGTTATTGCTATTGTAATGGGATTGGAACTACCAAAGATGAAAAGAAAGCATTTCAGTGGTACATGAAATCAGCTGAAGGAGGAAATCATACGGCACAATTTAATATTAGAGATTGTTATAATGATGGAATTGGAACTATGAAAGATGAAAAGGAAGCTTTCCAATGGTATATGAAATCAGCTGAAGGGGGGCATCATACGGCACAGTTTAATCTTGGTTCGTGTTATAATGATGGAATTGGAACTACGAAAGATGAAAAGAAAGCATTTCATTGGTTCTTGAAATCAGCTGAAGGTGGAAATAGTGATGGACAGTATAATCTTGGTAATTGTTATGATAATGGGATTGGGACCACCAAAGATGAAAAGAAAGCATATCAATGGTACATGATCTCAGCTGAAGGAGGAAATCATACTGCCCAATATAATCTTGGTTACTGCTATCAACATGGTATTGGAACTACCAAAGATGAAAATAAAGCATTTCAGTGGTACATGAAATCAGTTGAAGGGGAAGTATTCAGGGACAGTATAATCTTGGAGATTGTTATCAACATGGAATTGGTACTACAAAAGATGAAAAGAAAGCATTTCAGTGGTACTTGAAATCAGCCGAAGGAGGAAATCATACGGCACAGCTTAATCTTGGTTATTACTATTGTAATGGGATTGGAACTATCAAAGATGAAAATAAAACATTTCAGTGGTACATGAAATCAGCTGAAGGTGGAAATCATACGGCACAGCTAAATCTTGGTTATTGCTATCATAATGGAATTGGAACTACCAAAGATGAAAAGAAAACATTTCAGTGGTACATGAAATCAGCTGAAGGTGGAAATCATACAGCACAGCTTAATCTTGGTTATTGCTATCACGATGGAATTGGAACTACCAAAGATGAAAAGAAAGCAATCCAGTGGTACTTGAAATCAGCTGAAGGTGGAAATGGAGGTGGACAGAATAGTCTTGGTTATTGCTATCAAAATGGTATTGGAACCATAAAAGATGAAGGGAATGCATTTCAATGGTATATGAAATCAGCTGAAGGAGGAAACTATTTGGGACAATGTTATCTTGGAGAATGTTATCATTATGGAATTGGAACTACCAAAGATGAAAATAAAGCATTTCAGTGGTATATGAAATCAGCTGAAGGGGGAAGTATTCAGGGACAGTATAATCTTGGAAATTGTTATCAACATGGAATTGGAACTACAAAAGATGAAGAGATAGCATTTCAATGGTACTTGAAATCAGCCGAAGGAGGAAATAGTGATGCACAGACTTCACTTAAAAATTATAATAAAATTAAAAAAACCAAAAAATGAAGAGAAAATATTTAACAGGTACTTGAAATCAGCTGAAGAAGGAAATACTGATGGACAGAATAAATTTTGTTATTGTCATCTCCTTGGTATTGGAACTGCAAAAGAAGATAAGAAAGCATTTCAATGTTATATAAAGTCAGCTGAAGGAGGAAATAGTGGTGGACAATATAGTCTTGCAATTGTTATTTTTATGGGATTGGTACTACCAAAGATAAAAGGAAGCATCACGTTGGTACTTGAAATCATCTTAAGAGGAATTAAAGTTGAATATGATATAATTAAATATATAGTATATATCTTCATTTAAATAATCTTCACTTATCCAATAATCTTAAAAATTTAAATATCCAAACAAAATTTATAATTTTATTTAATTAAATATTTTTTATTGAAAAAGCATAAACCATTTAATATATATATACTATAAATGGATTATTTTTTACATTAATTATTTAATAAAATTTTTTACACACACGTAATTATAATTTTGTTGCATATTTAATTACTCCTTTAAAAAATATTTAAAATAATGTTTGTGGCATATAAATTTATATTAACCTTTCAAATAAATAACTTAAATTTAGGGATTTAAGAATAGAATTTTAAAAATGAAACCAAACTGTAAAATATACAGTAATCACCACCAAAAATATCAGAATATAAAAAGGAAATACCAAAAATTTAAATTTAAATTACCTTCTTGTTTGAACAAAAAAAAAATACCAGGCAATAGTGTCAAGATTCGCCTATTTTGATGATGCTAGATTGTTCAAATTTCAAGAAAATAACAACAAGAGAAAATATTAACCAATCAACAATGAACAGAACAGGTTACTTCTTCAAGTTTATTATTAAAAAAAAACCGTGTGTAGTAGATTATATATATTATCTGTTATTATAACAATTGAAATCTTCGAGTTTTAAAAAACGATATGTAAGAAATTACACTATCTCTGGTAAAGTAAATAATGATATATTTCGCAACAAAAATTCATTTTTAATTCGAAAATTATTGATTTAATGAAAGTATTTACATGCTTTATTATTGATCCAATTTATACTAGATGTTATTAATCAAACGGTATGTAAACTGAATATTTGCTCAAAATATTAATATTTGAATATCTACAAAATTATGGTCTACCTTGTAAGCATTTTACATTTATTATCAGTAATTTTGTATGTAATATGTTTTATTTAAATACATCAGAAAAATCTTGATTTTTATGGAATTCTTAATTAATTTAATTAATTTATTTAATTTAATTTATATAAACAGTTAACATTTTTCTTCTTTATCAGTTAAACTTTCAATACCACTTTTGAATATTATTGTCAATTAAAATTTTAGTACATCTAGGAAATATAATTCAATAAATAATCATACCTATAATACAATAGCTGCGCAACACTTTTGACTTTAATTTGTAAACTAAAAATTCAAGCCAATAAAATGTCCTGACCCTGAAATCTTGTTTTGAGTACGAAATTAAAATTTATATTAGGTGGCTCGAAAATACAGAAAGTGGAAAATAAAAATGTATGTACCATTTTTTATAAATTTTATTTTTTGACACAATCTTTACAAAAAAAGCAATAATATTAAATATACAAAATTAGAACGATTTATACACATTTACAATATTTTTTATTAATGTACATAATGTTTAATAAAATTCGAACAAATAACAAAATTTAGAATTATTTATTTACATTTAGTAAATAATTTTTTAAAAAAAATACAAATGTTGGAATATATACCATTTAAAAAACTTTGAATACTTATTTTTCATAATAATAATAAGGAATTCTCAAAACTGTACATTGTATAATAATAAACGCGTTACACATAGAAATAAACAAAAATTCAACTTGGCAGTTTCCGTGTTTTTTATATTTTATGTGTTACGTGTTTCTTTCTTTATTTTCTTGTCACTAAAAAATAAAGTCACATGAATGAAAGTAGTGAAATCATACACAAACGTTCCTTTTTGGTTTACACCTCAGAAAAAGAAGAAAGAGCTGATGTTGACAATCTACAAGAAGAGTTTGAAGCGAAAATGAAAATACCTTTTCTGCAGATGTAGATAGTGAAAGTGAAGTTAATAACATAAAGTTTAGCCTTGAAATAGGCACCTGTTTATAAAAGATCATAAGTTGTCACTTTTATATGTTGTTATTTACTTTCACAAAACAATTCATTTTTTAGGTGATACTTATGAAAGCAGGAATTTAGCCAAAAGCACATTGAGAAGTATGCTACAGAAGCTAGGTTTGGATATAAAGCGTTGAACTCAGAAAAACAAAACTGATGAAGTTGTACGTCACACATTTGAATGCTTGCATTCACGCAAATGTCAACCAAAAAAAAAAAGCTGATATAGAAAACAATCGTGAACGTGAAAGTGCAAGAATAGGATGCCATGGAAAATTAATCTTTACCGTTCTGGTAATATTATGCGTGTTATCTCAATGTGCAGTGAGCACAACCATCCGTTACTTAAAAATCTTATAGATATGGCACAAAAGTTTTGTCAGCTCAATACAAAAATGCTTGAGGAGATTGAATTTTTGGTGAATATTGGTTGTGGTGCAGGACTAATTATTCGTGGTCTTCAAAAACTCTTTCCCAATGCAATAATTCATCCAGAAAATATTTATAATGTAATTTGTTCTTCACGACGTGATATCAAAAATTAATGCATCTTACTGGTCTTTTTTGGATGAGACCATAACGAATAGAGTTGTGGCAAAGGTTTTATGATGTTGCAACTAATGACAATACAGCACAAGCAAATAGATATAATATGTATTAATCTTTAACAATTATTTTAGATAATCAACAGCTGTTTTATAAGATGAGACAAAAGAAACTTATCAATGGATTTTAGAGTGCTCTTACGCGCAACAAATTGTCATGCACCACGGGTATCATTTACAGATGCACACAGGTCAAACACAAAAGAATAGGCAGCGTAAATAGGAATTCTGATTTTATCTGATTTATAATATAGGATAAAATAGGATGGTTGATTTTAGCTGGTCTATGATATAGGAATTCCGGAATTACTATCTAGTACAGTGATTTTTTTGTATTGGACTAGTGGCAGATGCTAGTATGATTGCAGCCATTCATGAAATTCTTCCTCCAACAAAACATAACTACCGTATTTGGCATATACACAAAAATATTGAAAAAAATTTAAATGGAAAGAATCAAATAAATACTCCGAGCATGGAATAGATGTCAAAACAATTTTTCTGAAAATGAACTTCAAAAGCAACGGTTAATGGTTGGGTTAGGGTTAGGGTTAGGGTTAGGTTTGGTGTGTTGCGACTATTGAACAAAACAAGGATCATTATGTGGTATTTTATGGAAGTGCCAATCATTTGTGCGCATGTATGTATCTTATAATAAAAGGGTTGGTTTGCATTTTTTTCAGTAATACTTAGTTCATATAAAGCCATGTTCCAAATTGGTTTCATTCTTATTTGATGGCACAGAAACAACATGTGATCCTCAAGAAGAATCTGCAATAACTGTTTGCAGCAAGAAAGTTGATGGAAAATTTGTAACGGACATCAAATTGAACCAAACTTTGCACTGGTTAAATACAAAAAAATTGCTGGCTAAAATTGTTAACGATCGGAATTCCTAATTATATAATCAGCTAAAATTTGACAAATCGACTGTCCTATTTTATCCTATTTTTTCCTATTCTTTTTTATTCATTTCTGGCTATTCTTTTATATTTGATCTGTGTTGATAAGTTGAATAAAATTCGTAGCACACAAGTTTTTTCAGAGACAGTTAAACTAAAGTTGTCTCGCCAAGTAAAATACAATCAAGGTTATGGATATGCGAAAAGAGCAATTGGGTTAGCTCTTAAAATTGGTTGTGAAGATAAACTGATTCAGCTTTTACAAAATTGGATTAAAGAGAAGGAAAGGGAGAAATGAGTCCAATAAGAAGAATTTGCCAAATATTAGCAATTCGTAACAAGCACATACAAAGGTGTTCCAAAGAAATATAGACAATTTTAAGTAAATTTGGTGTTTCGCGTTTATTTCAAAATAATTAATAATTTATAATTCTTTACATAGAGCGAGATCGGAAAATAATAATTCAGGAGAATCTTCTCAACATAATGATAAAAAAAAAAAGTGAGAGAAAATAAACATGTAGTAACTGTAAATTTATTGATCATAATGCTCATAGTTGTGAGTATAGAAACGTTAATGATTTATTAATAAAATATTAATGCACTTAGATTTTTTTTTGTAAATGTTCTGAAGTGTTTTTATTGACTTAATTGGTAAAAAGCAGCATAAATATTAACAGTACAAACAAGCACATTACCCTCACCAATACCAGAGAAATGCCTACATGCAACCGAAATATACTTCTCAACCCCAGTCTACAGCAATGTCCCACTGGACCACCTATGAAATTAGAGGCAAGTATTTATGCAGCTGAAGGAGAATAATCTTGAAGATTGTTATCGTAATGAAATTGGAACTTTAAAAGATGAAAAGAACGCATTTCAGTGGTACATGAAATCAGCTGAAGGGGGAAACCATTTGGGACAATGTAATCATGGTTATTGTTATCGTAGTGGAATTGGAACTACAAAGACAAGGAGAAAGCATTTCAATAGTACTTAAACCAGCTGAAGGTGGAGATAGGGATGGACAGAATAGACTTGAATATTGTTATGAAAATGGGATTGGAAAAACAAAGAATTAAAAGAAAGCATTTCAGTGATACATGAAATCAGCTGAAGGGAGAAACCATTCGGGGAAATTTAACCTTGAAAAATGTTATCAACATGGAAAGATGATAAAAAAAGCATTACACTGGTATTAAAAATCAGCTGAAGAAGGAAATATTCATGCACAGACTTCATTTGAAAACTTATGAAATTAAAAAAACAAATGACGAGAAAATATTTCATCGGTACTTGAAATCAACTGAAGAAGGACAGAATATTGTTATCTCTTTGGTATTGGAACTACAAAAGATGATGAGAAAGCATTTCAATGGTATGTACAGTCAGCTGAAGGGAGTCTTGCGAATTGTTATTTCTACGGGATCGGTACTAACAAAGATAAAAAGAAAGCATTACGTTGGTACTTGGTCTTAGGAAGAAAGTATATATCTTCACTCGAATAATCAACGACCTTAAAAATTTAATATTCAAACAAAGTTTATTATGTTATTTAATAGGAATATCTAGTATTGAAAAACCCGAAAACATATCATGTTTATTTTATATATATTCTGTAAATGTAAAAAATAAATGCTACACGCGTAATTTTAATTTTGAGATAATAATTTTGAAATGTTGTTGCACATTTAATTGCTTCTTTAATAATACTGTTTAGAAGCGTATAAATTTATTATAACTGAATAAACTTTTCAAATAAAATAACGCGCTCTAAATTTAAGAATTTAAGTTTAAAAATAAAACATCACCACCAAAAATATTAGATTATAAAAAAGAAATACCAAATAACAAATATTTAAATTTAAATTACCTTTTTGTTTGAACAAAAAAAAATGCTAATAACAACAAAAGAAAATATTAACCAATAAACAGAAAGGGAAGGTTGCAATATATTCTATGTCAAAATAATTGCTTCTTCAAATTTATTATAATAAAAAACTCAGTGTGTAGTAAATTATATATTATCTGTTATTATAATCATTAAATCTTCGAGTTTTAAAAAATGATATGTAAGAATTACACCGCCATCTCCGGTAAAATAGGCAATGAAATATTTCGCAATGAAAATTCGAAAATTATTGAATTTAATGAAGGTATTTAACATGCTTTATTATTGATCCAATTTATACTAGATATTATTAATCAGCAGGTATGTAAACTGAATATTTGCTCAAAATATTAATGAAATTTTTATGTAATATGTAAATTCTTTTCATGTATTTAAATATATTAGAAAAATCTAGATTTTTCCCGATGGAATTTTAATTAATTTAATTAATTTATTTATTTTTAATAATCATTTTATACAGATAACATTTTTCTTCTTTATCAATTTAATTTCTCTATTCAAGTTTAACACAAAATATATCATATGATAGCACTGGTTTAATAGAAAAAAAGTTTGTGCAATTTTTTGCCTCATTACTTTTGATACCCCACTGACATAATTATCGTAATTTGTAATTTTCCAACCAAAGTATCCCTCATGGCAAAAATACCTCCCTATGAAATTTATCCGGGTACAATATATAGTTATTATATCTATATTTATAATCAATTTTATTACAGTACTATTATATTATTTATAATTATTATATTATGCCATTATTTATTATGTATTATTATTATCATTATATTATTACTATTATTATTATTATTGATCTATATATCTTCCCATATATTTTCGTAACCAATTATTTCATTTATTATAATAGTAATCATCATTACCATTATTATCATAATCATTATTACCAACATTATCACCATCAAGATCATTACTATTGTTAATATCATTATTATTTTCGTTATTTTTTTCATTATCATAATCATCATTATTTTCTCTATTTTCATCATCATTATCATATTTTCATAAACTATTAACTTCATCATTATCATTATTATCATTATCATTATTATCATTATCATTATTATCATTATCATTATCATTATTTTCATTATCCAATATGAAAACTTATTTTATACTCTCCTGACAAAAACCCATGCTAAACAAAGTGCCTCCCCTATACAAAATTTCCCCTGGGTACAATCAAGTTTTTGGGAGATGGGGTGAAAAAAACCTGAAGATTTTGGTTGGCAAATTACGGTATATTTTGTTGAAAAAATTCTACTAAAAAAAGAACAGTTCAATATTAAATTGATTGTGTCAATGATACCCATATATTTCAATTTCAAATTTAATATGGTCAGATTTTATCAAGTTTTTCGTCAAATATATTTCCTTCTGCAAGTAACAATTTATTTTTTAAATTTTGTTTATTATTATTTATATTATTAAATTTTAATTAGAAATCAACCAGAATTAACAAAACTAAAATTTGACGTCCATTTTTGTTTGGCTTGTAATTAAGTAGTGTACAAATTGAGAAAGCAAAAAGAAGACATTTAATCAAACCAGCTCTTAACTATATTTTATCAATACTTGAGAAATGTGCTAAAAAATAGGAACAAAATACAATCAAATTTTAAGAATAATATAAATGTAACATTACTTATAAAATAGTTGAATTTTCCATTAATCAAATGAAGCATCAAGTGAATTTTTGACATAAGAATCAATTAGATGATAAATATGTAATCAATAATAAGGTGGTGGACAAATATCAAGAGATTCTTATCGAGATTTAGCTGCCGCAACAGATTATCATATGACACATGCATATTCTGTTTTTAATGAGCGAGTTGAAATAACAAACTATATAAATAAAAAGATTAAATTTTCAATCGTGGATATGAAAGGAAAAGATAATTTAAAAAATATAGGATTTGGAGAATTAGATCTAAATTAAATGAAATTTTATGGAAATTCGAACTTTATTTTAACTCAGATTGGGAATTAAATAATGCTAACTCTAATATTTTGTCCTAGGTGTATGTGTTAAAAAAATCAACTCGGTGATTTAAATAGAGATTGGAATATTGAAAAAAAGGATGAAATTTCAAAAAAATTATAATAATATTAATGGTCACATTAACCACCCTTTTCTTGATGATTCTTATTGGTCATATGAATTACATATTTTTTATGAATTACAGATTGTTTGTGGGGATTGTAATAGCTGAAATCAAAGAATTTAATAATTAAACAAGAAAATTTATTATGGATGAGATGCACTGATTAAAAATGCCTTTTTTACTTTGGAAGAATTGAATCCAAAATTGAGAGGATACATCAATGTAATGATAAGGAAATAGTCACAAGATTTTTTAATTTGCAACTACTTTTGAGATCATCGTGCGCGCAAATTTAATACGAAAATTTTAAAATTATACTGTGATATGAAAAACTTACAAAATAAGCACTTGATTTGTTATCTCTATTTCTTATACAAGGATTGTAATAACTCCATACATGCTTTTATTAGTTTTTCATGGATGGGACCTTTTAAAAAAAACATCAACGATGGGATTGAAAACTTTTAAACACAACTAAGTATCAGCATTTTTTCGTAAAATTCCTAAAATCCTTTAAAAAGAAACTCTGCAATTCAAGAAATTATTGAATGTACAGACTCTTCCCGTCAATCACTTGTACCAAATATTTCCACAGTAGAGAAATACGATTTTTCACTGTAGTTACATATAAAACTTAGTTATT